GAGGAAAAGGAAAGGGGAGGGAAGGTGTCAGTTTTAAGATCTGGTTTTGTTTCTTTCTGTCCTCTCAAGTAATCGGTTTTTGTTTCCCTTTGTCCTTCTAAGTAATCATTAATAAACTGTTTTGCTTTGAGAAAGCCCTGCCTGTTTTGCCCGGGACCATGGTTGGTGGGTGCTCCCTCTGTTCTTGTCTCAACCCTCAGTCCCTTTGTTTTGTTTTTTTTTTTCCCCTCTCCTCTCTACTTTACTGGAGAAGGAGAGACTGTGTGAGTTTTAGTTGCTGGATCAGCCTAAAACCACGACATTATCATAGAATATCTTATTTGGAAGGGACCCAGTAAGGATCACTGAAATCTGAAGAGAGAATCTGATAGGGAAAAAATCCTTACTTGAAGTTCTCTTTTGCTTTCACTATGGAGGAGCAGAGGACTTGGCTCTCTATTAAATGGGATTCATGGCAAAAGACTATTTTTCTTAAAGGTGGGGATGATATATGACTGAAGATTCTTAATAACTGATAAAAATAATTTACCATGAAGTCTTCTGTTGTGTTTTAAAACATTGTCAGAAACTGAAATGGAAATACAATACTTCCCATGAGTGCTAGTACGTTTATCCAGCTTTTCTTTAAAACAAGGTTTGAGCTGTATTTTTCACGTCTTAAGTACTTCCATAACCACCAGTTTGCTCATAAACTCTCCTACTTTTTAAGAGAACTTGCTGAAATAATTACAAGACACCTCCCCCATTTTAAAGAATATTTCTGAAGAAGGAGGCTCACACATTCGATTAGACTTTCACTGTATAAAAATGTACAGTGGCTTTATTGACATGTACATTCCATTATGTTTACAGCTGCAAGATATGAGGCACACTCAGTATTGCACTTCATTAAAATTTCAGGCTCAAACATAACCCAGAAGTTTAAATGAAACTGCTGTTGTAATTTAATATTCTTATACAGGACAAACATTGATACCTTTATATACAGCATGATACTTGTTACATTTATGCCTTCCTAACACTTTTTTTTTTTTTATAACAGTCTAGGAAATAAACCAGAATATTCCTCTTTCCCATCCCCACTTGTGATGCGTTACAATTGTACAAGATTACAAAAAGTCAGTATACAATAATCAATATTTTTTTCTATCTCCTGAAAGCCAGCATCATTCATAGTCCACAGACACACAGATCCTTTAATAGCAATTATTTATTTGTAAATGTCCAATGTTTCCTAGCCGATGACTGTAATGGCCACATGCAAACACCTCACAAGTTTTGATGTCTCAGTTCAAAAAATGTCAATATCTCACAGCAAGAATTATGTACATGGTATTTGGCATCCTTCTTGCACTGTAAATTGTTCCTTTTACCTGGGTTATGAAATGGTCCCGTCCTCATCCCAGCTGGACTTCATTTTCAGGACACTTAAGGGATGAGGGCACCTGTTTTGCTCTGGTAAAAAAACCCGCTAGTCTAAAAAGTGTGAGCATTTCTGCAAACCCCACAACCCAGAGCAAATTCTTCTCCAGTGGGTGGATGGACAACATGAAGTGGACATTCTGTTCCTTCAAGTTGTTTACCTTTGGGACCTACAGTGAATTTAAAGGTGAGGGGGAAAAAAAAAAAAAGATTAACGCTTTTAATTTACATTTACTTGATGTAAATAAACATATATTACATTTCCTCAAAAAACATGATAAATGAATGTAATATATATGAATTTATAAGGAATATATGAGCATACAGAATATGAATTTATAAGGAATCAAACCCAAAGTCTTAAGAAACAGCAGACAGAAAGGTGCTCTCACATAAATTCAAGCATGAAGTCTAAAAGCTTAATAGTCCAGAGGAAAAGAGTCAATTAGATCTGACAAAAACATAATCAAAAACTGTTATGTCATTTAAACAGTTATGTCAAACATTGAACTGGTATTTGAAGGAAAAAACCAAATGATCAAACTGCCATGTAATTTAAAATAAATGAAATAAAAAAAGGTAAAAAGCTTATAGGGAGGATCACTAAAATAAGTTTCATTTCGTAATACTATGGAAGAAATTCACACAATCTAAAAGCAAAATCAATAAACATGAACAAGAGTTACACTCTACAGTAAACACTAATTGTAGAGTTATACCAGAAATTGTAATTTTTTTGTTTACTTCTTTTGTGTAAGTATCTTAAACAAAAAGATACCACTTTTTTTGCAACAGCAAGGTAAGTAATTACTGAGATCAAATCAATAGCACATGAAGCCAGAAATTAAGGCATTGGGGCAACAGTTTGCGCATGACAGGTCCCTGAGTACTGATATATTGTTTAATAGCAGGGTGTTAATTCTTTCAATACAATTTTAACACATCATTATACATTCAGAGTCTGAATTGGCACAGGTAAATTGACATGTCTTTCTGTATCCAAGTATCTCATGTTCAAAGGATCAGTGTGATGACATTGCCCGTATTATTGCCAGAAAAGCAAAAAAGTGAAAGTATGCATAAAACAAAGCCATTCTAATATTTTTCCAAGATACTGGATCTAAAATTTAGAGTCATAGAATGGTTAGGGTTGGAAGGGACCTCAAAGATCATCTAGTTCCAACCCCCTGCCATGGGCAGAGAAATCCTCCACTACATCAGGTTGCTCAAAGCCTCATCCAACCTGGCCTTGAACACTTCCAGGGATGGGGCATCTACAACTTCTCTGGGTGGTGCCTCACCACCCTCTGAGTGAAAAATTTTGTCCTTATTTGTATGACTGACCCTGTGGTTTTCCTAAAAATCATCAGCAAGAAAAGAATATCAATTAGAACTGATCACTAATCTCAGAATTCAGTACGGTACATTTGCTTTATAAAAATACTACCTGCAGGACAGTGTGGGAGTTCTTCTTTAGGGATGCTTGTCATTCTTTGGAAATCATCATGGCAAGCGTTGCAAAAATGCGTTGTCCCAAAGCAGAAAAAAACAGCAACTGAACAGCAGTAGCGGCATTTGTACTCCAAGAAATCTGTACCGTGTTTGGGACACATCTAAACAGAAAGAAACCAACGCCGATAAGCAAAAGGAGCCGTGCTGTACCAACCCAAACAACACGTTTCCACATGCTCTACTATATATTAACATTATACAACACATAGAATTACAAATGACTTTGAGTTACTGTACAGCTCAAGAATTTGGAGCTTCAGAATGAAATAAAACCAGGAATACACGTTCTTTGCTTACCTGAGCCCTTGAAACATCAGAGCATGCACCACAAATAAGTTCTCTCGGATCATAGTCATCTCCTTGTCCAGCCTCAGCATCACAACGAGCTTCACCACCAAAATATGCCTGAATTTTATATAGAAACGATTGGACATTAAACCAGAGACAAGTATTATTTTAACAAGATCAATTTTTAAGAGGAAAACGGTGAGTAACAGCCATTACAGTAGTCTCCACTCTGACTCTAGATACAGGTTTTTGAGGCACTAAGACAACATCTCTCAATCTCAGGATAAACAAGACCAAAAATTGTGCAGTATTTGGATGCTCTGTGAACTGTATGTCAGAAAGACAGGACTGAGGCTGAAGGCAGCAGAGAAACATTCTACCAGGAGGAATTTTTACTAGCCAAAAGGAGTTATCAGTTTTTATGCTCAGGTGGGATCCCTTATTACTAGAATTTTGCTGTTTTCTACAAATTCATTCTATTTTCTTATCTTATTCTACCAGGACACACTGGGGACAAAAATGCACCAAGTAAGATGGCCAACTCTGATGAATTTCTTCAGATACTGAAGTGTTTTCACATGAAGTAGCGAGATGAGGCGAAGAGTAACTTCCTCCCTTCCTTTGTTACCATCTTATTAACTACTTGGACAACGCACAAAATTCTTGCTCTCTGCAATTCTCACTGTTTTGCAGTGAATGTAAAAGGGAAAGTGGTCTCAAGGCAACTATGAGGAAGGAAAAATTTAAGCAGCCCACCTTCCCCAAACTCTGCAGACTAAAACAAAAGGGAAAGTCCTAAGGAATGTATGCCAGGGAATTAGGTAGTAGTTTGTGGTGAAAAGGTGCTGGAGGAAGGGAAGAAGTTAGAAATTAGATAGCTAGATGTTGCTTTCAGATGTATGGACACAGTACGAAAGGGAATAACGAGATATAATGGAAAGAAAAAGAGGGAAATAAAGACACTGAACTAAATGAGCATTAAGAACTAGTAAGAAAGCACCACGAAAAACAGGGACAGGAATGAAAACTGGAGAAAGTAAGATAATAAAAAGCATTTTTGTAAGGGAGGCAAAAAAAGGCACTAGACAAGTTGCTAAAGGATGAGGAATGAAAGTTGATTAATTGTGGGAGACAGGAACAAAAGTGAACTGAGTAACTGTGTAGTAATGAGCTAGAGGGATTAACTACTGTTTTTCTCTAGCATATGGAAGGGAAATCATTCCTTTCTCATCTAATTTCCAATTTGCACACTTAACAAAATATGTGCATTGAACATAAAAATTATTGGAGTTTCCCTTGAAAATTATCATGAAATTGCCTTATTCCATTCACCCCTAAGGGAAAAGGAGAAAGATGTGATCAAGATGGGCTTGAATCTAACTTAGCTTGAGCTAAAACCAGGTTCAGATAAAAGAAGCAATGGGAGGGGGTTCAGGGGTTCAAAATTTCTCTAACCAGAGATAAAGAATGTTTGTCTTTTCTCTGCTGGTGGGGGAATCAGAGGCTATTTGTACATGATTTTTGTCTTCTGGATAAATCTCATATTCTCTACCTGAAGAAAACTGTACATATATGACCACACGTTTCCTCTTTCTTCTTTTTCATTCTTCTAACACATCTCGCCATCATCTCCACAGCTGCTGCACTTCAAAGGCTTTCAAGATGCTAAGATCTGAACTTAGGCATAATTAAGGATGGCAGAGTTTCCTTATCCCATCCTGAACAACTCCACTATCGTGAATCAAAATTAGAGAAGACTCTTCCCACCTTTTGGGACTACCACTGGGGAAAACCACACCAACAGCCTTGCAGTAGTGGTGATTTTTCTGCCCCAAAGACAGTTTATTGCAGTTTCAATCAACTCTAACTTGGGTAAAAGTAATATTTAGGTGGAATCTTAGTGAGGAACTTCCCATTTCCAAGAGTCAGAATGAAACCTATGGTAATACTATTTTAATGTTCACGTAAAGTATGAGTTGGAAGTGGGACAAAGGGATGGTTGGTGTTCTAACACAGCATCATCTGCATGTTCTTTTCTAAGAAGGCGAGCACCTCAATATGCTTTTGGTTTCTGACCTGCACTGTATATACTTTTGAGCTTTACAAGATCAGACACTGTACATCTAGTTTGCTCAACACTTGTTTTTTAATTATGATTTACAATTTCTTTTCCCGCTTTCCTACTCCATACAGAATATATTAAATACATGTTCCATTCTTTAAGAAACTACTTTTGAAACAATAGCATACATTTAATTTGAGAAAGTACTAATTGTCATACCTTTTTGCACTTGTAGCAAACATAATAAGCATATCTGTTCATAGCAAAGCCAGCTGGGTCATTATAAAATCTAACACCTGGTGTTGTGATGGCCTCACTCTTGTGCAACCCTTCATACTCCAATCTCATTAGCGCTTTTCTCCTTACATCTTCATAGAGTTCTTTGATTGGATCAAGCAAATCCTTTAATACTGTATGATTGATTTTGTTCTGAAATAAAAAACTGATTAAAGTATCTTGTATCTTTATTCCAACAGCTGTGATAATTTGTATTGTGGTCATACACAAATAGCGTAATGGAAGTCATAAAATCCTAAGAGCTCAGATTGAAACATCTTAGGATGTTTCAAAAAATAGCTGATATAGCATATACTTTATTTGCTGCAAAAATAGTAACCAGGGATGCTTTTTATATGGCCTTTTGTTATATGAAATCATCAACCCTTACAACAGACTGTAAACAACCACAGAGGGATGGTAAAGGGTACAAGAAATATTCACCACAGCACAGGAATATTCTGATTGTATGTTTTTCTCTAATTTTGGTCCTTTTTGACTTACTGCTTAGCAATTAAGAATAATGAGTGACAGTCCTCTATGCCAGGTCTTTATCATTTCATAGTCACAAGCTATCGGCACAAATTACCAAAATACAGCATGAAGGAAGAAACACAGCATGCAGAAATGGCTGACCATTCACAAATTTCATATTCCTAAGGTTTTAAGGTGCCCTCCTTCCCAGCAGCCATCATATGCTTTTGTTTACAACAATTCTGATTTTGTAGAGTACAAGAGGAATTATCACTAATTTAAGCTGAACTAAGTGCATCTATTCTTCAGCTCTGTCCTCATACTGAAAAATAAAGTAGCTTTAAAAGGGGTTAGTAAAATAGGGAAGCCAAGTTTCCTGCTTCAGATAATGTGCATTAAGATTACTTCTTCCCTCCCCAAGCTGTCCCCAAATATTGGGAATTTAGAAGCTGATGGTGCTAACAATAAAACAGCATTAAGGTAATGTCTGCATTATGTTTTCTTTTTATGAGGACCCTTACTTCAGGGAACAGCAGGGGAAGATAAAAAGATGCATCAACGAAATCTTTTCTTTAGTGACACGAGAAATTAAGGGAACAAGTGATGTATACCTAATCTATATTGTAACATATAATTAAAAAAAAGATAAAAAAGAGAAAAACAAAGACAGTATTAGGTAACTTGTTTGACCTAGGCAGTAAACAACATAGCTCATTTACCTTGCAAATAGGACAGGACATAAACCCAAAAGTTATCCTGGGCCCAAGCCATCTGTTTTCTAGTACTCGTTGACAGCATTGCAAATGGAAAACGTGGCTGCAGTCCAGCTTTAGAAAACAACACACGTAAGTGAACACCAAAGTTATATTAACCACTAAAAGAGAAGTAGTTATTTGCTTTTAAGTGACAAGATACATCAATTTGAAAATCAATTTACTTAAAATCCTAGAAGATCCCTACTTTCTTCTTAAAAAAGAGAAAGAATATAAAACGGTCATTAAAATCATAACCTTTCCACTCCAAAACCACCAGTGGATATATGAAATATATCCATTAATTACCTCAGCTGATTTTCTCCTTTATAAAATACAATATATTTTAAATAAAGTAAACACAGCAAACTAAATTGATACAATCTGCTTTCTTGAAATAGCGGTAATGCCAGACAAAAAGAAAGCATTTTAGGTAACTTATGTACTGTTACGGTGTCCGTTTTGAAATTTTTAAGAGTGTAATTTGAGGGACTTTATATTGTAGCTTCTTCCACACTTAACGTTACAACCATAATACTATTCTCTTCAAAGGGGGTTAAAAAAGATAAACCTGGATAGCTGGTGCTGCTGAAAGTGCTTCAGTAAAGCAGATCATGCACATGTCATCGGCATCTTGTTTAAGAGTTGTGGCGTTCTTATCGCAGCCATGCAAGCACGGCAAGCAGTGCTCTTCGTTCTTAACGCCTCCGCATGGATGGCCGCAGGGGTGGGTCTTGCTGCAGGCAATTTTGGCATACTCCTATGAAAAGTGAATCATAGAATCATAGAATGGTTAGGGCTGGAAGGGACCTTCAAAGGTCATCTAGTCCAACCCCCCTGCAAGGAACAGGGATATCTCCAACTAGATCAGGTTGCTCAGGGCCTCGTCCAACCTGGCCTTGAACATCTCCAGGGATGGAGCATCCACCACCTCTCTGGGCAACCTCTCATGGTAAATATTTTTTTCCTAATATCCAATCTGAATCTACCTCCCTCTATTTTAAAACCATTACCCCTTGTCCTATCACAACTGGCCCTCCTGAATAGCCTCTCCCCATCTTTCCTGTAGGCCCCCTTGAGGTACTGGAAGACCGCTATAAGGTCACCCTGGAGCCTCCTCTTCTCCAGGCTGAACAGCCCCAACTCTTTCAGCCTGTCCTCATAGGAAAGGTGCTCCAGCCCTCTTATCATCTTCGTGGCCCTCCTCTGGACCCTCTCCAACTGGTCCATGTCCTTCTTATGTTGGGGACTCCAGAACTGGACGCAATACTCCAAGTGAGGTCTCACGAGGGCAGAGTAGAGGGGGAGAATCACCTCCCTCGACCTGCTGGCCACGCTCCTCTTGATGCAGCCCAGGACGCGGTTGGCCTTCTGGGCCGCAAGAGCACATTGCCGGCTCATATTGAGCTTCTCGTCCACCAGTACTCCCAAGTCCTTCTCCTCAGGGCTGCTCTCACTTTTTTTTTCCCCCCTCCACGGAACGGTTTGATACAGTGTCGCTTTTCGAAGGCTGGCTGGTTCGTGCAATAAACTAAGATGAAAGAATCCCGATTCATGTTGTCTACTGCTACAGCAGGTGCTTGGGAAAAACTGCACGAGTGTGCTTGAGGTAAAACTGGTACCTGCGTTGCTTACGTTACTCCTGAGTAGCAATGGCATAACGAAGCCGTAACTTTTAAATTTTAATATTCAATTTTAATATAGAGCCAAATATTCTTTAATCCTCCATGTGTCCTTTGTACGTTAAGTGCCTCCTGCATAAACATTGCTTGCTCTGTATTAACAGCCTTTAAGATATCTGCAGATTTAGGTCCTTCAGGAAAGGTACGAAGTAACTCACTCTTAAGAACACGTGATGAGCTGATCATTAACCAGCATGAAGCACTTCTACGTGGAAATGGTATTTTAACCACCTCTAACTCCTGTCCCTAGTAAGCAGAAAACTTGTAAAAGTTGCCCAGAAGCTAACAATGAATTGAACGGAATTAATATAGCAATAATATAATATATTCAGTAGGCTGAGAGATTATGGGAGAAAAGACCATAAATTTGCCACACAAACAGAAATAGACAGGGCGGGATAAGAAACTGCTTAGGATTTGTCCCTCTGCCAATTATAGTTGTACTATAGGGCGCAAAAACACTCAGGACACGGATACAGTTGACAAATCTGGCCAAGTCTTAAATGTTCTGTGCTCACATAGTGAACAGACTCCTAGGCAAACTACTTTTATCAAGCTTTCCAGTACACTAGACTTCATGTTGACAGTGTATGTTTTACCTTGTACTTGGAATGCCACTATGAAAACTTGAGATACTTCTGAAGATAATCATGAAACTACTCAGTATTTTGGTTGACTCTTGGTGTTTGTAGCCTGCAATTAAGCTAAACATTTACAAACTTGGAAGTATTTGAATTACAGTGTAATATTCAATATTCAAACCTTTTCGTGAGATGTCCAATTTAAAACAGACCACAAGGATGAACATGGTTTACTTAAAATAAGGAATCAATTTGATCCTGCAGTCCTTTCTATTTATGTAATTCATGATAATGGACATTTCATTAATACACACCTGGCAATCTGTATCAGAACAAACGCTTCCCACTGCTGATAATTCTGTTCCACTCCTACAGCCACAGAAACGACACGCTTCAGAACTACTGGTGGTCGGTTTGCCTAGGTCCGCAAAAGTAAACAAACCAAAAATTGTTGTAATAAAACATAAGAGATTGATACTCTAACATCACACTTCTAAAAATAATCAAGGAAAACAACCAGAAAAACAGCAATTCTTACACAATCTACTTTAATTAAAAAATTAAAAATATTGCCCTAAAGCAGGTGAAACCCCCTAGGTTGGTGTTGGGTTTTTTTTGTTGTTTTTTGACAAATGCTCATGTAAAAGGTAAAAGTAATCAGGATAAAGAACTATTAATAAACAGCTGTGTTTTACCTGTCTGTTCTCTGAACTCCACCATAGCCTTCATAGTTTTAGAATCTGCTAATGCCATCAGCCAGAAAAGTTTGGTCCTACCACAACCCTCATGCAGATCAACTTTGATAGCTTCCTCCTCTTCTTTGAATACCTGTCAAGTTAACCAAACAGATAATAATAAGCATCTCTACATTATTTTTGCCACTGTCTCTTTGGATTTTCATCAGTTTTCTATAGATTCTTCAGTTTATCTACTGCAAGCTATTTTTTTTAACACATTTCATAATTTGTACATATTGAAGATTTTGTGGTTTTAAAAGTAAAAACATAGAAGATTAACACTTGAGCTATCATGTCTGGGATGCAATAGTGCAGCAATGCTAAGAAGAGACCTGCAAAACATTTTTTCTTATTTTAAAAATATGGAGCTTGGACTTCATAACTACTATTCCCCCCATCCAGTAGGCCACGGTCAATTAAAAGCACAAGATAACATTGGAAATATCTTCACACAATTACACTAGTAGTTTATCAAAGCAACATTGGTAATTATGGTCTTAAGAATATGTACTACATAATAACAATTATATAAATGTGTAATACTAGTATTTTTGACTTTCAGATAAATAGACATTGGATACTTTTGACTCCAATGAGGAAAATAGAAAATTTTTGCAAAATAAAAAAAAATGCATGGGATCCTTAGTGGACTTTATACAGTCTCTTCTTTTTCTCCTTTCCTAAATTTTGAAGGCAGTTCTGTTTTCATCCATTTCACCTGCAATGCAATAAAAGTTAGAATTTTCCTGGGTATGGATGTATACACTCAATTTAAACTTTTTAATTCTTATTAGAATTGGGGAAAAAACCCTAATTGCTTCACAAAGGATACGCATAAGCAGGTTGTAGTAACTTTCCTTTCTTGGAGGGAGAGAAAATACATTAAAGAGGTATGCAGGACAAAAGTTGGACAAAAAGCAGAAAGCTAACAGAAAACAGGAGACAGGGAACACGACAGAATTTAAAATTTAAATTGAGGGGATTAGCATGACAGATGTAAAGGTGAAGATGCTGAATAAAGAGTAAAAGTTTAAACATGCTTTCAGAAGAAGTAGGAAAATCTGATAGGTAGCTATTTTGGACAGATTAAAGGAGAGATGTGAGGACTTCTATGAGATAAGAACTTACTTTTTATCAACTGTAATCTGAACAGGCTACATAGGAGAAATCAGAGAAATAAATGAGACTAGACTGGGCTGTGACAGAAGAGTAGACACACAAAATTATCATTTTAAGATGACAAAACAGGAAAATTTCAAAGGAGACTGCAAAGATTCTGGCTAAGAAATAGAAGAGAGCAGATCCACGTGGAACGTGCAGGCTGTCTTTTCTGCAAATGCTGAGGCATCAAGGAGATCTGCAGAGTGACACTCAGTGCCAGTGATCCAAAGTTCACATCATGTGTGCTGTAGCCCAGCTGATCCCTGGCACTGAATGACCATTAGCAGTGTGTCTCTGCATCTCTTTCTGTTGTTTTCAGTTTCCCTTGAAAGGAATCCAGTTCATGCACCCTAAGGCCACTTTATAACACAAATCAAAGCACGGTAAGGAGACAAGGAGATCTGCTTCAAAAGCTCATTCCTGATCCTAACTAAAAAGTGAATTAGATGCACTCTAGGAGAGGGAGAAGAATCATTTCCTTTGAATTAACCTTATTAATGAAGTATATTATGTTAGCCTTTGTACAAACGTAGGTAGTCAGGGGGAAAATAAAGGACCACAAAAAACCACAAAAGAGAGTGTCAAGAAGAGGAAGTGTTCAGTAGTTTCAGAAGTAAAGGCATCTTCAACATTAATTTCAATAAGAAAAAGAAACATTCCAAGGAGAATGTACTTTCAGGTATAGAGATGAAGATGATAAGAGAAAAACGCAAAAGAACACTAATCAGCAGAGTAAAAAGCAATTTGTAAAAACTCATCTAGGTAAGTCAAAGAAGAAAGATGTTTCAATCCTAAAAACAAACCCAAAAGAAATCAGGAAGTTTTCAAGCTTATGGATATGACAACATATTTCTCTGTGAAAAGACAGTGAGAGCTGGAGGAATACTGAAAAGTAGAAGACCAACATAAGGGAACCAGTAGGAATATTTGCTGTCAAGTGGTCTTCCTGGATATTAAAAAACATATACAGATTAAAAACGGAGGGGTTGACAAGCACTGACTTATATGACAGAAGTAGTAAAGGACGTACAATTTCGCAGGAGTAAAGAACCAATGTACACTTAAAGAAAGTCTATACAGTTCCTAGATTTTCCTAAAAAATGTTCCTAAACAATGTTAGAACAAAAGAGAAGAAAGCTGATGTAGCAGAAGAGTTAGAATTACAGACTGCTGCATGATTTTCCAATCTTCTTCAAAAGATAAAGGACAAGAGAATTTAACTAAAAACAACTAAAACCAATTAAATGGAAGCTTATCTATGCCATCTCAAACATAAAAGAAAATACCTTTTCAGATTTGGTTTCTGCTGCTGCCTTTTGCTTACATATTAATTGGGAAATGCACACAACGCATGCAGTGCGTACAACATGATGTCATGTATACTCTACCTGTCTCTGGTGAGTTTTTGTTCGTCGATGGAGGTGAAGGAATCGGTCACAATCCGTACACAAATTCCCACAGACATTACATAAAATGATTGCGGCAGTTTCACCATCATCATGGTTATCACACATTGGCTGAAAAAAATTAAGAAAAAGCATGAAATAATTCTCTCTGTTAAATCCCTCATAACCTTTCAGTTTTTATTCTCTATCATTTATTCTAGTCATCCCCTCCAAATTAATAAGGGGGTATAAAGAGCTTGTTTAGACTATTATTGTATCTTTAGAATAATCAGTATCTAAACAATTACTCACGGGCACAAAAAGCCCCAGTTTACTATATCAGTTCTTCTGATATTCATCTTATATTTTGCGTGATGTAGCGAACAGAATTAACTTAGAAAAGAATCCTTTCAACAGCAGTCCTGGTAGTGGAGGGACGCAGTACACCTCAACATTTGAATATTCTGGT